TTTTGTGATCACAGGAAGATGATATTAATGGAGAGCACATTGTGGCTTTTGCTGAGGAGGATGATCCAGGTTGGTTTTTAGGTTTAGGTGTTTTTAAAAATAATTTATTTACACCTATAAGTATAACATGAAGAGATCTGATAAATCCATGTCAACTTCTTTTAGATGGTTTTGAATTTCTTGAAATCCTGAAGGAAGTAGCCCGCGACAACACTGATGACCCCAACCTCAGCATTATTTGGATTGACCCAGACAATTTCCCCCTGGTATAAAAATAGAACTTTATCTTGACTTTTTTTCCTAGATTTAATTTTTCTCCAAGAACTAATTTTTGTAATAGGATACAAAGTATTACTGGGCTCTTTCTGCTTTCTGTTTCACACTTTCAGCTGGTTCCATACTGGGAGAGAACATTCAGTATTGATCTTTCGTCTCCTCAGATTGGTGTCGTCGATGTAAAGGATGTAAGAGTTTGTTACTAGTTCACACAAGCTTGAATCTGTTCCACTGTGAATGTCCATGTTCGTAGTTTCCCCTTGGCTTTTTTTTAAAACTGGGCTTTTTTTGTGTCTTAGATTATTCAAGAAGTGAAAACAGATTTTGATCCACACTGGTGTCAAAGTATCACACAAGGGATTCAAATAGTTGACAACATATATATTATTAGAATCTTTAGTGTAACCACATCCCAAAGGGCCTTTCTTGGTTTCAGACCGGGGGCTCAATTTATAGAAGTTGCAGACGTCACTTTTCACTTTCATTTTGGAGAAAGGAGAAACTGGAAATGCGGATGGTTAGGTTGGGAATTGAAGCTACATATTAACTGACATTCAAATTCACTACACATCAATCTTTAACCATAGACTGGCCCCTCTGTAGGCCTTAACCCCACAGTAATATATATGCCTGTGCTACTGAGCCATAGCTCTAGACCAATCACATCAATAAAAAGAAATAATCTATAAATCAACTCAATACTTGACTTAAAATTTGCACAATATATAAATGTTTTGTCACAATCACTTTCCTTTCCTCAATGATCACTGAAGTTAAGTGTACCGGAGGTTTTTCCTATAAAGTGTGCAAAAGTCAAACTGATCACATTGGTGACACTTGTATAATTTTGTGCGATCGACACCATGGAAATGCGAGAATTAGGAGGGTTTGTGTTCAAGGATCAAAAAGGTTTCCTGGCCCTTCAACTCCTGGACAAAATATTTACAATCTTGGCAATATTCCTTAGAAGAAAGGCAAAAAGTATACAAACCTGTTCAATAAGGAAGTCAAGTGACAAGTCTACATCGAAAATAACATCAAGGCTTTTTACATATTTATCAGAAGCCAATTTAATGCAATCTAGATAAAATAAGTAAATAAGCAGTTCACTTTTTGAAGACCTCAGTCCAAACACGATAAGTTCTGGTCAGTCTGAATTTAAAAGCTGAAAATGTAAAGTCTATAAGGTTTTAATATCTTTGAGAGATGTCTATATCTATCCAACATGTTAGATTTTCCAGGGTTTAAGGGCAAATATACCACATCATTGTTGGTGTAAGAGTGGAAATGAATTGCAAGTTGTCCGATAATTCTACAAGTTGGTAAGACAGTAAAAAGAATTGTACCTAGCACCCATCCCTGTGGTAATGCAGGAATAAGATCTAACAGGAAATGGAAAGACACAATTCTATTATCTGAGGCCATGAAAAAACCTATTTCCTCAGTGCTGTTTTAGAGTAGAAGTCATCTCTAAGAGTAGACTGAAATTCTTCAAAAAGGTCATTATGGTTTAAGTGGTCATACACCTGATTAGCAACAATTTTCTCAAGAATTTTAGATTAGTAATGACGATTAGATGGTAAATGGTACATGTACTTATATAGCGCCTTTATTCAAGTTAGGAGACTTGACCAAAGCACTTTACACTACATTCATTCACCCATTCACACACACACTGATGGTGGCAAGCTACATTGTAGCCACAATGGGGCTCACTGCCGTACACTGGCGCCACCGGGCCCTCTGACCACCATCAGTAGATAATGCAGGTGAAGTGTCTTGCCCAACGACACTGAAAGTCGTAGTCGGGGCTTGAACCGTCAACCCTTCGATTTCAGGGCAAACTCCTACATCCAACGCCACTGTCTCCTCGATGTAGGTTAACTGTCAATTGCCTGATTTAGGGCATGCAAAGTTGGTCCTTCTGGGCCATTTTAGTTGTTTAATGCATATGCACAGCTGATTTCCACCCTGACTTGGCCAGCTCATAGAGACAAAAAGTCCAAGACAGTTCCTTCTCCTTAAATTGTGTTTAATAGAGGAACAGTAATTGTTTTGGTTAAAATGCTGCAGCAGCACTTATTACATACCCCATCAGCCATGCAGTAACACATGTATGTTGATGACATTAGAAAAAGGACTTGTACACCGCTTGTACCAAGCTTTACAAAAACCTAATGTGCTTATGATTCAATGAATCGACCGCGATTGGATACTCTGTAGCGGTTACAAAAAAAAAGGTAACAAATAAGAAAACAGGGAAATGAAAAAAAACTTGTCTAGATAAAATATAAATTGGATAAATAAATACGGTGACTCTAAGTTAATCAACATATTTTTTTTCTTAATCAGTTAAACCAAGAAAGCTGGATTAATATACTGGTAATGTTTGTAATTTTGGCAGGCTGACAGCGTATGGATGGAGATGGATGATCAGGATGACATGCCCACAGCTGATGAATTGGAACAGTGGATTGAGGACGTTCTGTCAGGAAAAATTGATCCCGATGATGATGACGATGAAGATGAGGATGACGATGATGAAGATGACGACGATGATGATGACGAAGATGATGATGACGGTGATGAGGACGATGATGACAACGATGATGACGACGATGATGACGGTGTTGACGACGATGATGACGACGATGAAGATGAAGACGGCGATGAAGATGACGAAGATGATGAAGATGATGAGGAATAACTGTCCATCTTTTCAGTCATTTTGCCATTTATGTAGAAAATCCAACATATTTTTTCAATATGCCAAAACATTTTACTACAAAAAGACTTTTTGTTTACTGCATATCTTTCCATGCTGGGCTGTTGCACTGACATGAAACACTGTCAGTTCGAATGGTTTCAGTAAAACAAGAGGTTTCTCTCACACAAGACTAGAAGGGGTCCTGTTTAAAATAACGATTGTATATGAACTTCATAACTCAGACCTAATAAATATCAATACATGTAAAAATGGACAGAAACCTTAAGGGCTTCGATTTAACAACACAGTATTCCAATCATATAATTATCTTATTTTTTCTCTTACCTTGTTTTAATGTTATTGAGAACAAACTTGTCGCCAGACAGTCTTAAAAAAGTCATTAAATCAATTAGAACATTTGCTACTTTTCACCTTTAGTTTAAAAAGTTGATGTTATTGCACTACAGAGTAATCAAATTTGGTCAATCAGAGGAAACCTTATATGTGTGAGAGTTTGTGAGTGTGAGTTATTTGATTCAATTCCAATAAGTTCTATTTAAAAACACTCCGAGAGGATATTAGGTGTAGTTGTTACTTCTATTAAAGTGAAGGCACTTTGTTGTTGTACGGCACTCTGTTTAAGGGGATGCTGGTGGTTGGCATAATGGTCTTTATTATGGGATTTTTTTTAAGCCTCTAGAGGAGTCCCTATCACAGAACCAGCAGGCTATACCTATATATCTATTTTGGGCTGCACTGAAGGATCTAAGCTGCCCTCAGCTCAGCAGTATGCTCACTCTTTCCCTTCTTGTAGCCGGCTTTACCGCGTCTTCAGTAAAATATATTGTCCAGGTGAACAGAGAGGTATTTTAACTCATTCCCTATCTCTACTTCTTCTCACATGATTAACATTTAAAAGTCAAACCCTTTTTGAATTAGATCATATGCAACAACCTCCCTTAAGACTTGGGATAAGTCACAAGATAAAATTATTAAAAGCAAATTCAAGCCTTTGGTTTTTAAATTAGAAAGTTGTACAAAATTGAAAATACACAAGGAGCCTTTTATTTATGAGCTTTATGTGAGTTTGGAAATAAATACTTTTATGTTTTACACATCCTCTTTTGAAACTTGGTGTTTGGTGATTACATTTTACTGTTCTATTCAATTTAATTTATATCAAATAAATCTGATCTGTCAAACATTTATATTAAGCAATCACAGACTGATATGTCTGTCTGTCTCTCGGTCTAAAGCTGTCTAGTTTAACGTTTAGATAAAAAGTTGCTTCTTCCCTGCAAAAGCACTGAAAAATTAAACAGACTGTTGTGACTTTGTTTTATCTATAGTTGAATATTAACCAGGTGACATAGAATTTCACAGAAAGAGCAAACAGCATGAAGTCAGAGTTCTGGAGACACCATAAGGGAAGCAGGATGATTTCCAGAGTGTGGTTGTTATTGTGGTTCTGTGGTTTAACTTTGGACCACGGTATGTTCCCTGAAACACAAGTGACCACTGTGTCATGATGTATTTAAGAGATCTGAGCCACATACAGAAAACCACTCAGAGAAAACTAGAGAAAAGTTTAACAGGTTTATTCAGGAGTTCAAAGGGTTGGATTCGGGGAAACTCAGAGAGCTGGTGAACCGGAACTGGAAGTGAGAAGGGAAGTTCACAGAGGTTAGTTCAGGGTCCATGGGAACTTTGAACGACGTCTTGCAAACACAGAGATAAATGGGACTCACGATTGCGGAGAATGGTTTCTTTCCTGAATCCAGTCAGTGTGGGTTTTTCCAGAGATTGAGGGGCTCGTTGGAGGAAGGACAGGTTTTTTGGTGTGGTTGGTTCCTGAGGGGCAATGGAGCAGACTGCCACTTAGATCTCCTGGAGAACTTGAACGGGACGTGTGGAGATGAATCCCCTGCTCAGTGTGAAGCACAAACAATCCTTCCAGAGGGAGAAGGCCAAACATCCAGTTTGCAGAATGACTTCCTGCCGAAAGGAAAAAGACAAAATCACGTTAGACTCAGAGAGACAAAAACTCAGTTAGACTCGGCTAAACTCAGCTTGGCTAGAGTACCCAAAACTGGCAAACACTCTGGCATCGAAGTAGTGGCAGTCCACCGCTTAAGAAGTCCTCAGTATCGAGCTACCAACCAGCCGCAGGTGTGTGGGAGGACCAATGAGAACAGGGCGCCACCTGGTGGTGGAGGGGAAAAAACACAAAAGCACAACCCACACAGACTGGATTCCTAACACGCTGAAACAGAGTCATGCTTTCCTAATATGTGCAAATTCCTCAAAGAGTTTGGGACAATGAAAGAGAAACAAGAAACTATGGAAACAAGCATAAATGAGAAGCAAGAAGCTCTGGAAACAAGGCTGAAGGAGACTGAAAAACTGGTTCTGGAACTGAAGAAGAAAGGTAAAGCTCTTTCTGAATTTATTGACAATGTATTTTTGAACAGATGCAGTTCAGCTTTTTTTCGTATCTATTTAGAAGCACAAAAGGTTGTATTTAGTGCCGCAGCAGGGGGAAGTGTAGCTATTGGGCCTTTTACTACAGATTCAACCATAATCTACAGAACAGTGATAACAAATATGGGCAATGTTTACAATCAGCACACAGGTGAGTTAACTTATATTTGTAATGACATATTGGTAAGGCACATATGTGACACTGATTGGCAGAGAGGAGCAGCGATGTGGACTGGTGTTTAGTATAGCCCAATTCCAAACTGGCCCCTAAGCACTAACCCTAAGCACTGACCCTCTGTTTGCGCAGTACCGCAGAGTTTCCGCAAGATTAGGGGCAGTACAGAGCACATAGTGACCATTCAGCCCTTATACAGCATCACCAGTGCACACTTGCTGGAATTGGCCTTTGGGTGTGAGGGTGGTCTAATGTCAAGGCGCCTTCCACAGCTGCGAGTGTTTCTTCTTTGGGAGTGACCCTCGATACTGAAGGGATAGCACTTAGGGGATGGTTTGGGATTGGGCCTTTATGATGAACACAGATTGAGATGATAGATGATGGGGTAGAGTCCAGAGGCAGATATAGGGGGGAGGCAAGAGCGCAAGAAGCATAATCAGGTTAATCACTGCAAACTTATTCAAGGTAATCCATCACCTGCTTTGCAAATATCATGGTCTCTATTTCTGAAGCACTAAATACAATCAGCTGGTACCTTGCAATCATAGTGGGGGTCTCGCCTACCACTAGAGAGCAGAGCCAATTATATTCTGCGAAAGTTTCAGGCCCTCATTCAAACACAGACATACCCTGTCGTGCTCGGATCAAGAGCTTTAGCAGGGGAATGCTGAGGCGCTCAAGTTATAGGGATAAAGGAGGAGTTTTACAAGACTAACCCTTTCCACGTAAAAAAAACACACATGCACAACCCTGTACTCACTCTCGAGAGGGAAAGGGTATTAAATTTGTGCAGACCATGCAGGAGCCCATTTCTCCTAGTGCCCACTCTATATAAAAGTTGCTGTTCGGATCCCTCATACCAGCTTCATTTCCAAAAGATATGCAGTTTCTCCACTATGTCACCACCAGTAAGTAAAAATGGGGACGAGCACATAGGATAGCCTTACATAAAAATATCACCAGAATGATTCACAATTAGGATTTTGATGATCCACCCAGAAAAAGAACATCCTCACCATACCTTTAAGTATATGAAAAAATGTAATTTTTATCATGTGAAATATTGTTCATGAAGATTATAATTGTAATACAATCTTTTCAACTATAATATTCCTCTCAAAGTTGAATATAATAATTGTTTATATAATGATATAAAGTTTTTATCCACAATGCTTTCCAGCACAGTGATAATAATGTAACAGTTTAACAGACTGGCATCTAAAAGGTGGAACCAATATCTACTAAACTTTGCTGTTCTTCCAGGTATTTTTGCTGCGTCTGTTGCAGGTACATATTACTTCACCTTCTTTTATCATGCCGGAGGATCACAAGTTTTAAGTCTAGCCCTTATGAAGAACAATGAGGGTATTGTGACTGCCTACGACCATAAGACATATCATGATGGGGTTGATAATGGAGGAAATGCAGCATTTCTGCAACTGCAGCAAGGAGACCATGTCTATATGCGGTTGGGTGCTAATACTCATGTCTGGTCGGACAGCCATATCACTACATTCAGTGGGATTCTTCTGCATTCACCCTGAAATGAAGAATACAGGAGTTTTTTTTGTTTGTTTTTATCAATTGACCAACATGTAAATAAAATTGCATTACCATTAATATTTCTGGTCCTTTTATGCTGTGTGTGGACACATTTAATATAACTGAGATTAAAAACCTATCAATAATAAAAAAAGACCTTAAAAAGTTTTAAAATAAAAAATCTTTAAGTTGTTTCACCTGTTTGATTGGTTTTCAGTCATATTCCTGATAATTTGAAAACATATTGGACAAAAACCTGAGGAATGTATGTACTGGAGAATGGGGATGGCTGAATCTGTTTTTTTTTTTTTTAACCAGATCTAATGATACTGGCATGCTCAATAAGAACCTCCCCCTCCTCAGCAGAACATAGGACAAGATCATTTTCTACATTTATCAGTTAAAAAAATTGGTTTTAGGTGTGGAAGTATTTTAATAATATGATGTATTTTGTGATACTGTCATGAAAATTTGTATGAAAGACTTAAAAATTCCTTTTTCGGGGAAAGGGTGACTACAGGGTTTAATATACAACTATACGACAATAATAGAAAAGGTAATTTATAAGAATAACTTTCAACATTCACCACAAAAAAAGAAAAATAAATAAAAAATACCACAGATATAAATTGTCAAATATTTGTTTCAATTTGTTGCTCTGCGGCAAACCTCTCAGATTGGTGAAAAAAGAAAGTCACATGGTCCATTGCACTGCGCAGTGAACAGGTGCATCTTAAGCTGTGTGAAGCTCTGGAAGCCAGACTGATAAATGATTTGGGCCAACACATATTCTTCTTGTTGGTTTATTTCTTAAAGGATCTGTAGCGCTCTTTGATGCACTTAATAAGCGCATTTGCAGATCTTTTTTTAAAGGACACACAAGTTTTATTTAACATTTATTATTCATGCAAATGCACCTCTTAAATGTATAAATGTTCTTTTACAAGTCTGATGTCAGGGATAGAATAAATAAAAAATCCAGAGTAGTTGATCTGCAGCAGGTAGAAGTGCTTAGAAGAGCCAAAATAAAAATAAAATAAATATATTACCTATTCATTATAAATACATATATATATAATGGATATCCAACTTTTTTTCATTTAGTCCACCAGAAACACTTCTCAATTGAGAGCAAGGAGGTTTTTTAAGCTGCACTTTCAACAAGAATGTCTGATCACAACATTATTGGTACAACTTCAAAGGTCTCAATAAGAGAATGTGAAAAGAGCCCAGACACATCCCCAAAGCTTCATCCTATGAGCCGTGAGGAACCCCAGACTTTAGGCCTGCAGTTCCATTGATTTCATAATTGCATTTAGATATGCAATAACTCCAAATGAATTCATAATTGATCGCCAGAGGTGTTTAGACACAATGCTAAAACAAAACTGTCCCCTAAAAACCCTTGAAAAGATATTATAACTGGTTAACATCTGGCTTCTTGCAAGATGGGGAAGTAGCTTTTGAAAAGATATGGAGAGTTGCGCTTCTTGTTGAGGTTCCGCCTTCCCAAACCATTTAGTGAGTAGGGTGAATGGACCATTCATTCCTTAAATAGCGAGTTTGCATAGGAGCAGACTCACGGGACTTTGCCAGTGGGTGTAACAGCGGAATAATGGCAGATAAAACATTCACATTCAATTGTAAGTTCAGATAATTTGCTGAATTTTCGAAACACTGACAGAAAATCACAAGTTAGGAAAAAGAAAATGAATAGATCATTAACTCCAAAAGGGAAAGGAAATTGTTTTATTTGACTATGTAAAAGTATAAATAAGAAAGGAGCATATGCTTGATGTCATGTGAATCTGTGCCTCAGAGCTACAGCCTTGCACATGGGGCCTCACTGTGTTTTCTTAGAAACAACTGTTTTCTTTTTTCCATATGAGAGAAGAGGCCATCCCATCTCATAAGGGTTCTACTGCATATATGGATAATTATTGTAATTGAGTTGTTCAATATAATTTGTTTCTACTGTAATTCTTATTCACAAAATAACATTAATATTGATTTGTATTACTGTAAGTTTACCAGCCTGTGTGAGGTAAATTCTAGATCTCGCTATATCCACTGTGGGGGTCCCGACAGTGGATATAGCGACAGTGGGGTTCAGTTAAATTCAGTTCATTTATATAACACCAATTTAAAACAGTCATTGACTTGAAGGCAATCCCTCACACCAAGAAAGCTTGTAGCAACAGTGGAGAGGAAAACTTCCTTTTAACAAGAAGAAACCTCCTGCAGAGGCTCGGTGTGAGTGGCCATCTACTAAGGTCGACTGGGATTCAAGGAGACAGAAGCAGATACAAAAGGGTAGAGTCAACCAGCTTCACTGGCGGCACCATCCAAGGAAACATAGAGCCAGGCAGACAAGCTCCAAGCCAGCTCCCATGTCAGAGGAAGAAGAAAGAACAAGCAGTCACAGTCAGAAACACAGGAATAAACTACAAAAATTGACAAACTCCAACATCTATAAACAAACATGTTATCAGAGGCACAGCTGATATTTCTCAACAGGATGGGGTAATGGCCAAACAGGACAGAACAGATGAAGCTACTATGATAAGCAGAGAGAGCATAAGGTTGGAGATTGAACTAACAAATACTGCAGAATGGGAGAATGGAGATAGAATGAAGCAGTTGATGAAAATGGGTCCCTATGTCCTCCAGCAGTCTAAGCCTAAAGCAGCATAACTATAGAAGAAGCTAATGTAGCACCGGTATCACACCACTAACTGCGCCACTGGACCAGTTCTAGGCTCTAAGGAGTGGGGAGCAAAATAATAGCACCAGAGACCGCTGCTTAAGTGAAAATGGCCGGCAATTTAATGAATGCAAAACACACATAAAATACAATACATGAAACCAAAAATACTCTGCAGATTCTTAATAATGAGGTAAGTAGAAATGGGGAGGAAAAAGGAGAAGGAAAAAAAAAGAATATATCACTCTTTCTTTTTGCTCTTTAGTTCACCTAGGTTATTTTAATTAGACTAATTTGAATTAATTAGACCAGTCTCTTTTTCATAGGTTGCACCTATTTTAAGATTTAAATTTTTCCTGAGTTAACTCTTTTCCGTTCTTTTACAGGTTGCAAAATACCTTCAAACACATTTAAATCAAGTGGACCACAATTACTCAAATCACATTCAGAAAATAAAAATATGAAAATCAAAGTATGGCACTTTAAATTCAAGTTCAAGTCCAAATGTAAATATAGGCACTCAGTTCGACAAAAAGAATCAGTTTGATTCAGTCCAAAAAAAATAATAATAATTCAATCAGTCTCCAGTTCTTTTTTAGTTCAGTTCAAACTAGTTTCTGATATCCCTACCGCTCTGGCAGGGGATTACCACACGTGGGAAAGTCCCTCCCTCAATGGACAGGATGAATTGAAGGTCTAGGTCTGGCTCGCCATCTTGAATCCCGTCTGTGAATGTGCACGCCGCACATGGCAGACTAATCCTCGCTCCGACCAAGCTTCCAACCGAACAAAAAACCTGACCAAAACCGATATGGCTTAGTTCTCATAAAATCCTCGTCAGTTCCCGACCAGGTAAATTATGTTTTGTTTACTAAAATATTAACTTTTCTCTGTTAATTATTCACCGCTCTTTTTTTTCTCCGATTCCTCCTCTGCTCTCTCCTTCGGGTCTGCGTACTGCAGCGTCACCCAGACACTGCACCTGCAACGCTGGTTTCTTAAAGGGACAGCGACGTTATTTCTGTCTACAGACTTTTAACCAACTACTTATCCCTATTATGTTAGATCCCTATTTATGTTAGATTTTAACATGGGTTACATCCTCCCCTCTTTACCTAATGCACGTCCCTGTGCATTTTGAATTTATGCTATCATAACTCTAGGGGTTCCTGGAGAGCTAGGATCTTCAAGAGATTCTGTAAACACATCACTCAAGGTTTGAAATAAAGACTGAAATATTGTAACCAACGGGTTTCCTAGCTCAGGATAAGTCAGTCTTTTAGTCACTTTTCTGTCTCTGACAGGTCTTGCTGAACAGTCACTTCCACTTTGGTTGTCCGTTTGACCTAAATCATGAGTGTTTTCTTTGCTCTCCTGAGCAGGTTGAGTAGAAGGATGGACATTATCCAGATCTTCCTCAGGTAAGTTTACAACTTCCTGTTCAGTGATTGGGTTTCTCTCTTCAGGATGAGGTAAGTCTTTCCCTTCAGAGTCAGGTAAATCTTTCTCTTCAGAGTCAGGTAAATCTTTCTCTTCAGGGTTGGGTAAATCTTTCTCTTCAGGACGAGGTAAGTCTAGGTCGTAAGTTTCTACTGGAGGATCCTCAGGGAAAGCTTCGGCTACATCTGAGGGATTTTTCTCAACAGCAGTCAAGTCAGGTTCTGGTCCAATACTTTCAGGTAAGTATTCCATAGGTCCAGAAGTCAGGTTGAAACCTAGTGTTTCCACTCTTAGGTTTCTGTGATAGTGATATTCCTCAGAATCAGATTGGGATTCATCCCCATCATCTCCATTTGATGTGTCATTTTTAGAATGTTGTCGAGTTCTTGGTCGCCTTACTGCCTTTGGTGGGTTAGTTTCGCTTTCGACCGGGGTCACAGGAAGGAAACCACATGGCAGCAGGAGGTCACGATGAAGAGTTCTATGTGGACCATCTCTTGTCTCAGGTTTCACAACATACACTGGGACGTCTCCGGACTGTCTCAGGACAACATACACATCAGACTCCCACCTGTCAGCTAACTTGTGCTTGCCTCTGACACGGACATTTCGAACCAAGACTCTGTCGCCTTCTTTCAAGGTGGAGTCAACAACATGCTTGTCAAACCTTGCTTTGTTGCGATCTGCCGTCTTTTTAGCATTCTCAGTTGCTACTCTGTAACTGTTTTCAAGTTGAGATTTCAGGTTGCGGACATATTGCGAGTGAGAGCCTGGCTGATGATTGACTGGTAGGCCAAAGGCTAGGTCAACTGGCAATCTTGGCTGACGCCCGAACATTAACTCGTAAGGGGTAAAGCCAGTTGTCTCGTTCTTAGTACAATTATAAGCGTGTACTAATGGCTTGACATACTCCCGCCAGTGACTCTTTTTCTGG